TCGTTACGTATTGCTCATGACTGTGTGTTAGGTTGCCTACAATACAGTTATTTATATTATATGCGCGTAAAAATGCTTTCGTGTTTCATGTGTTTTGCTATTTGGAAATGCATTGCGATTGCCTTTTTTCCGTTCGTTTCATGTGACGCTCGAGACGTTGCAGCCGCGCTCAGCGAAAAACGATTTTCACATCCGGCCGCGCATTACAATGTGAATTGATTCGCGCCGAGGTTTTTCTTCCCTGCACTAATAGCCACTTCTACACACAATACCACCTTCGGCAAACCCCTGAGCGAACTGATTTGTTCCTAGCCTTCCACTTTTCCCGTTTCCCCTGATGTATAACATGAATTACTGAACAGTGAAACGCTCGGTTAGGTGTGTTTTTAGGAGCGGATTCTCCTGCTGCTCAAAAGAGATTTGGACAAATCACTGAGGCAAATTACACCCGAATCACATTTTATTGAATCTGCTTCTATCTTAAACATTATTATTCGTCGTAAAACACAAAAGTAGTTTTAGCTGCGTAAACTAACGCAATTTTCCACCAGGATGGCGCTTTGGATACAACGCACAACACCCAATTACGCAAAAACAGTTTATAACCTTAAAATAGTGTTTTATCGTGTGAAAATATAGTGGTATTTTATGTGCAGGCAAACAATAAGTAAAAGAATCAAATTGACCCGCTCTAATGCACTTCCAAACTTTAATAAACGCGACAATAAATCGTAAGAGTAAATCTCGATGATAATAACTTTTATGACCATTAACCAAATCACAGTAAATTTGCATTAAAATTTACGGCAAGTCAATATTAGCCTGCATAGCTAGCGGCGTATAAAACGGAGCTGCGTACGCCGTTCATAAATGGACCCCACATCAAAAGGCGTGGACGGTCATCACAGTATGTGATACTGTGCAGTAAGCGCATAATGAAACACAAACGTTCGCAATCCGACGTGCAATGCACCCAATTACACAAATAATTCGCGCTAATAAATTTCCCACAAAATGCAGCGGACGTGAGTATTTCTAACCTATATTCATCACCAATTGCATGTAAAGCAATTATGATGGATATCTAGATGTGCGAGTATAGTGTGTATCTAATATTGTGACAATGACATCAACTAATAACGCACTGTTGACTCGGGTCAACACCGTCCATTAGTCAATAAAATGTGCGAGCGGTGTTTGTCATAATCAACACCACCAACACCCTTAACATTCAGCCTCGATGACATTGATGCAATGGCGACATCGTCAATCCATCCGCAATCATGCGCTGAGTAATGGTGATGGTTGAATGTTAAATGTGTCAAATGATGCGTGTAGCAGTGCGGTGGTTATTTCGGTTCGCGCATGATGCTTATATTTATGCAACACGCATAACGTAGTGGATGTAACGCGTTAGTTCAGTATATCTCAATGTGTCACGTACATAACTTTTAGAAAGTAGTAGTTAACATCATTGTAGGGGGGATATTCAGCTACATTTTAACCTAGAGAATTAGTTGCGCAAGTGGCCACTAGATGGTTAGAGAAAATGTTTTAATAATTTTAGTTTTTTAATGATTACTCGTAAACTAATTGAGTTATTTGAAAAATGTTTTCACCAAATTGTTTATTAGTAAATTCCCTATCATTTTCAGTAATAACTTTCATTATGACACGTTTTAATCAAAAGTTATAAACAGTTTTACAAAAATTAACCATAATTGTTTATAATTCATTGGAAAATTACTTAATTTTTAAAAAATTATTACAAATAGATGTTGAATTTAATTCTTAATAGATTATTAAAAAAATTATTAATTTCGCATGAATAGTTTTTGAGTTATCCAATAAAAACTTTAATTTTCCGCCCGCAAAAATTCCGCTGATTGTGATTTAATTACGGTGAAAAGGTGTCCCTGCACAAACTGAAGCCGCTAAAGTAATTCGAAAGTCGAAGTACGATGGTATGGTGAAAGTGTCAAGCCGCCTTGCGAAGGTAAACAGAGTTGATCTTATTAATGCTTCGGCGACGATGGTGATGAGGGTGTCGTCGCCTTGCGAAGGTAAACAGAGCGATCTATTAATGTCGAAATACCAATTAAATAAGTTTGGAGGCTTGTTAAAAAGTCACATTAAAGTGGTAAATTGCTTTCCGCGGGCGCTCAAACTTTACGCATCCAGCGCCCAAAACAAATAAAACGCATAATAAGAAATTGAAATCAGACCAGAATTACGCCTGCAAAACTAAGGTTATTTCAATAAGTATACAAAACTTGCAAATTTTAATATGATGACAAAGTTTGTTTGGTTGGTGTAAACTCAAGGGAGAAGTTATTTATGGAACATTATTCTGATGAGCTGGCTCACCTGAGAATTGAGTGTGAAATTTCTTCAGCGCACAGTTTATCACGCTTGTTACACGAGCACGATGGATAATAATCTGTCAAGTGAAATTCACACCTCGAAAAAACCAGCTGACAAGTGAAAATCAACAAGTATTCTTTTGATATTTTCAGGTTAATCATGAGTTATTGTAGGCAACCAACAATACACTAAATTATGTCACATTTGGACATGTGCTGGCGAAGTACAAATTAAATAATAAAATACGCTGCTGTTTATTTCATCTCCAGCATCGCCCATCAAAAATTAAATAATAAAAATGCATATTTCGTGCATTTTTATTCATCTCCCGTATGCATCCGTGAGCTTTTCTCTCTGATAATAACATTTTCTGTTGTCTTGTTTGGAAATTGTGCGCTTTGTTTGTTTGCAACTAGCCACAGCCGGCGGTGAAAATAAACGTGAGTGAAATAAAATTCCGCGCGCAGAATTGCAAACTGTAGCAGAATGCACGCGTTTATTTAATAATTTATAGTGACGCACATCATATTGTGTATTTTTCCACGTTTTTTTCACGTATTGTCATTTATTCCGCATTGTATTTCAATCAAAGCGATGCGAAATTGTTTGTTATAAAAGTATCGAACTACCAAG